GATGGTATTTCCACTGTCATTGAAGAAGCATGGGGGATTGAAAAAAAAGGCACTTCTTTCTTCAGACTAAAGGAAAAAGTTAAAGAGACTAGACTTGCACTGTTGAAATGGAGCTTCCAGTTCAATAAGGATAACCAGAATAAGATGAATGACTTATCTGCTAGACTTGAGGCTATTAGAGAGGAAGGGGCTGAGAACCATTGAGAAGAGTGGGAAAGACTTAAAGCTGACCTTGAAGAAGCCCATTGTTATGAACAGCAGTTCTGGAGACAAAGGGCAAAAATCCACTAGTGGAAAGAGGGGAACACAAAATTCTTTGATGCCTATACTAGGCAAAGAAGAAAACTGAACTCCATCACTAGACTTGTTACCAGAGACCACAATGTCTGTACAACTCAAGCAGAAATAGAGCACCACATCACTGACTACTTTGGCTCCTTATTCACTTCAGAGGGCTCTAGGGGTGGAGACACTTTGACCCAGCTCATACCTAAATCCATTTCTGTAGAAATGAAACAGCAATTGTTGAAACCTGTGGATGAAGAAGAAATAAAATTTGCACTTTTAGCCTCCCACCCGAGAGGTCTCCAGGTGAAGACGGTATGAATGCTTTGTTTTACCAACATTTTGGAATCTGGGTAGGTGTGACTTAGTTACTGCCATCAAAAGTTTCTTTGAATCTGGCTCTTTCTTGCAATATTGGAACCATACATTTGTCACTCTCGTACCAAAATGCAAAAACCCTGAATACCTCCACCAATACAGACCCATTAGCTTGTGTAGTGTTGTATATAAAATCTTCTCAAAAATTTTGGCCCTTAGATTGAAACAATGCCTTGACTCTTGCATAAGTCCTAGCCAATCTGCTTTCCTTCATGGTAGACAGCTGCTTGACAATGTCATCATTGCTCCTGAAGCTTTCCATTTCCTCAGTAGGCACAGAACATGAAAGAACTTTTTTATGGCTCTTAAATTGGACCTCATGAAAGCTTTTGACGCTGTTGAATGGAGTAGCTTACACTGCATTATGATTCAGATGGGTTTTGATTGGAGGTTTGTTAAAATTATCATGGTTTGTTTAACCTCTACTTCAATATCTTTCAATGTCAACGGGAAAGTTGGTGGTCTTGTTTATCCTTCCAGGGGTATTCGTCAAGGGGATCCATTATCCCCATACTTATTCATTATTGTGGTAGAAATGCTCTCAGCTCTTATTCAAAATGCAGTGAACAATGGGAGGCTAACAGGTTTCAGGCTGGCTAGAAATGGCCCATCTATATCCCATTTAATGTTTGCTGATGATATTATTTTCTTTGGTAAAGCTGGGGTGGACCAATCGCATGTTCTTACAGAGCTCTTGGAACAGTACGGACTCTTTACTGGCAATAGAGTCAATATGGCAAAATCATCTGCCTTCTTCAGCAAAAATGTCCCAACTCATTTATAGAACAGTGTATGCCAGTCTCTGGGTGGAATTAAAGTGCACCTTTCAACTAAATACTAGGCTTGCCCCTTGGACTCAGCAGATCCAAAAAGGAAGCTTTTGCTCATGTTGTGGAGACAGTTAGGACAAGGCTTACCAGCTGGAAAAATAAAACCTTAGCCAATGCTGGCAAGGAGGTTTTGAATGCTTTATCAGAGTTCACCATGGCTTGTTTCAGAATCCCAATCTCCATAGGCAAAGAGATTTCAAGGCTGTATGCTCAATTCTGGTGGAGCAAAGGTGAGAACCAAGACAGAGGCATTCACTGGTGGAGCAAAGGTGAATGCTCAATTCTGGTGGAGCAAAGGTGAGAACCAAGACAGAGGCATTCACTGGAGAGCTTGGAGCAAGCTTACAATTCCAAAGACAGAAGGAGGGTTGGGTTTTCAGGATGTGCTTCTCTTTAACCAGGCTTTAATTTGTAAGAAACTTTGGAGAATCTTTTCTCAGCCAGAGCTCTTAGTGAGCAGGGTCCTAAAAAGCAGGTATTTCCCATCATGCTCCATATTTGAGGCAGTCAAAACCCAGCATTGCTCATGGTTGTGGAAAGGATGGCTAGATACAATATATGTGTTTGCTCTTTAGTACTGAGATTAGGAATGGTGTAACTACAAAAATAGATGACATCAATTGGGTTCCACATCTTCCTAAACTCAGGCCTACTCTAATTGATATAGCCAGAGGCCACTTGATATATGTTAAAGAATTGATGAGTGAAGATGGGCTTGAGCTGGAACACATGGCTGGTTAATCAGGTTTTTGCAGAGGCTGATAGCAGGGCCATATTGAAAATATCATCCCTCAATCCAAGTAGACAGGATAGATTGTATTGGAGCCTAGACGAAAAAGGAAAATTCACTGTGTCATCCACTTACTCCCACCCGATCACCAAAAAAGTTAAAGGGCTTCACATTCCTGAAGGTAGCAACAACTCTAAGCTTATCAAAGAAGTAAGAGATAAAACCTGGAAACTAAAAATCAATGGGAAGCTCAAACATTTCCTTTCGAAATGTTGCACTGGCACCCTACCTGTTAAGGTTAATCTGATTGCTAGAGGCCTGAAGGTTGATGTCATTTGCAAAAGCTGCGGGGAATGTCCTGAAACTATTGAGCACACTTTCTTCTTCTGTGTTAAAGCTAGAAGGCTATGGCAGGCAAGTCCTATCCAATGGGAAGGTGTGAGAGATGTTCATGTGTGATTTTACACCATATTTATGTAGTATCTAGAGCTTATTCATTGCATTATTGGTGTATAAAATTGCATTATTGTGCTATAATTCTATATCTTGTTGGGGTGGCTCGGTGCTCGGCACCTCAGCAGGTAGGCACCCTCGGTTGCTCGGCATCGGCATTGTGGGTGGTCGGCACCCTCACTTCAGCTCGGCACCCTCGGCGTCTCCACGCGATCAGCTCGGCATTTGGTGTCAGGGCATCATGGGACAGTCGGCGTAGTCAGCAGCTCGGCATCACGAGGTGGTCGGCATGTCCGGCAGCTCACCACAGGGATACGTAGTCCGGCGTGACGCTCACCTCGTCGCTTCCCAGCTCGTCATCGGCAGCCCGGCGGAACGCGCACCTCGTCGCTTCCCAGCTCGGCATCGCGACGCGCACCTCGTCGNGGCATCGCGACGCTCGCCTCGTCGCTTCCCAGCTCGGCATCGGCAGCTTGGCGCGACGCGCACCTTGTCGCTTCCCAGCTCGGCATACGCGACCTCTTCGCTTCTCAGCTCGTCATCTGCAGCCCGGCGCGACGCGCATCTAGTCGCTTCTGAGCTCAGCATACGCCACCTCGTCGTTTCCCGGCTCCATCGGTCGTGTGTCGCAGCACGCCGGTGCAACGTGCACCTCGTCATCCTACAGCTCGTCAGCTCGGCCTCTCAGCAACGAGGAGCGTCGGGTGCGACACCTCATGCAGATCAGCTTGGCAGTGAACGCGAAGGGTTATGCCGCGGCACTTCGTAGGCGAGTTCACGTGGCGGCGAAAAGTCCAAATGAGATCAGCATGATTATGATAGGCGACCGATGAGCTTTTCAATCTGGATGTGACCACTTGCTGCGACATGAGTAATTTTTCTATTTCTTAAGCCAAGCTGTGATGGTTTTTCTAAGAAATGGGGGGGCTAGATGATATGGCCATAAGTAGAGGTTCATGGAGGACCGGTTGTGATCCGAGTTTGGTCACATTTACACTGAATAGGAGCTAGGCAAGGGGCTAGCTTGGCATGAGCACTTCGGTGGCATACCAAAGGTTGGTCAGCTAGGCGGAGTTCAAACAGCTAGGCGAGAACTAGCTAGGCTGTGACTAGCTAGGCGAAGTACCAATGGGAGCTAGGCGAGGACTAGCTAGGCGGGGACTAGCTAGGCGGAGTACCAATGGGAGCTAGGCGAGGACTAGCTAGGCGGGGACTAGCTAGGCGGAGTACCAAAGGTTGGTAAGTTAGGCGCCTCTGCACCTCGGCAGCTAGGCACCTCGGCACGTAGGCGCCTCGGCACCTCGGCACCTAGGCACCTCGGCCAGAGGGTTCTGCCGAGGGGACCAGAGCCTGGAGGTGGCTTCGTGGCCAAGTCACAAGGAAGTTTGGAGTGATATATAAGGACTATTGAAATTCTGGATATCTTTGACCTAGTTTAGAGATAGACACGAGGAAGACTTCTAGACCAACAAAACTCTTCGACTTGCTCATGACCTCACTTATAAAAGGGAATAAGTTCATTCATTTTACACCACACACACACACATTATCTCGTTACTCTATCGTTTTCTCTCCAAAACACCACTATTGACTTGAGCGTCGGAGTGTCCACGCCGGGACCACCCCCGACGTGTTTTGCAGGTACCGACGATCAAGGAGGCTCAACCCGGTTCGGGAGGAGCGGTCGAGCGGTTCGAGAATTTGTGGTATAACAGATAGTCTCTTTCGAAGAAATAACGATAATGGAATATTTCACTCGGAGCCATTTTTCTATCAGAAAGCATGAAATTTTGTAGTTGTTTAATTTTATGAAACCGTGTTGGATCTTGTATTAATTGCTACATTTTAAGTCTATAATGAATTTAGTTACTCAGACATTAAAAGTTTTTTTATAAATAGTTACTGTACACATTACAAAGTGATGCTATTGGCTATGAATTAAAATAAACTTGGGGGCATTTTCAAAATAAAAATTTGTAAAATATTTTATGGGAAATGGGGGTAGTAATCACCCGACTTTCCCATAAACTAATTTAAATGCAAGGCAAGGGGAATCTTAGTCATACAGTCAACACTTAAAATACAACAAATTGATATAATTAACTAATAAGAGAATGAAATAGATCATCAATTTATCTTCACGAGTGGCACATTTTAGATGTTCTCATCAATACAGAACTTCAAAAAACAAAGGGTAAAATGGACAATTGATAGTGACGCCTTTGTTGTGAAGCTAGAAATGGAAAAGACAAGAAATTCACGAGAAAAGAAAAGGTGAGATGTAAAAAGAAAAAGAAAAAATAATAATAAAAGTTTTCGTTTCCTCAATTACCCCTGTCCTGAAAAGGAATTCCAGTGAAAGAAACCCTACCAAAACCCAAATGTCCAACCTCATCATACAACTCTAACCAAACATCCTCGCCCTTAGCACTAAAACGGTCATTTAACCCCTCTCCAATCACAACCCCGCTCAGCACCCTATCCGACGTCGTTTCGACCCCCGCCCTCCCGTCTCCCGAAATTGCATCCCTGCCCTCCTCGCACCATTTCTGTTCCTCCTTCAGCCTCCGCCGGCGGCGGCGCCTCCGGCCTCCGCCGATGCACCTTCTCGCCACCGCCCACGGGAGCTTGACGAACGCCAGTGCCAGGATGTTTACCACCGCGCAGGGGCAGCAGCACACCGCCACGCAGTCGGCGATCACGCCCGCCGTGCACGACTGGAACGATTTCCCGGTGCACGCCACCGCCGGATCTCCGGAATTCTCCTCCACCACGTCACCCCTCCGAAATCGGCGGCACTGATTCCCCGCCGTGCTGGACGACGACGACGTGGACGCCGGAGATCGCCGCTGACTGGCGTCCATCAGATTTGACGATTTCTTCTCCTAAAAAGTGATGCAAATGTCTGCGACAAATAAATCACACATTTGATTGTGTGTGAATTAACCTCTTTTTTCTCAGAACAAATCTATGTACATAGAAATCGAAGACTGAATCAGGAAAAGTTTTGAGAAAAAGAGGGAAAATAGAGATAAAGCATAGTTCGCATATTTTCAGTTCTGGTCTACATCAGTTAAGTATGTGTGTGTACATATATGTATACATACAATATGATGTATACATATATGAATGGTGGTGCAAAAAGTAATAATCACGGGATGAAAAGTGGTGAAATATTGCCGGTAGAAATTAAATTGATTAATCTTTCTGATTCCAAAGAGGTGCAGAGAACCATGTAATTAGTATTGCCAGAGTCGAAATATTTACTGTATATAGGAAATCGAGAGGAAAGACTAGCACGTGTTCTCAAACGCGTGGATATATTACATCATATTACAAATACAATTTTATGAAAAGTTTTTTCCACTTAAAATGTATTTCTCGTTTGATAAGTTAATTTTTTCACTTCAAACAATGTGAAGATATTGTGCGATAAATATGAAATAGTTGTGCAAGATGAGATACGGTCTATTTGTATAATCTTTTGCACTTTCTAAGGAGAAAAAGTTAAAGTGTTAAGACATTGTGCGATGAATATGCGAAAATTATGCAATTGATATGCGATAGCTATGCGGGCCATTCGTATAACCTTCGCTTTTTTTGGGGTGAAAAAGGTTAAATTATCAGTGGACAACGTTGTGAAAAAACTTAATATAATTTTTACCTACTATTTTTACATCACATCTTCATATTATTTTGATTTGGCCATTGCAGAATGTACAATTTTTGTTCAAAGGGAGTTGTCCAATAAAGTAGTTCTGTTCAACTTGTGAAAGCTTGTGCTCAAATCATTATGTGTTTAAACAAGTCAACTCAGACAATTAATCGAGTTTATCTATTAAATAACTTCAGACAAACATTTTCGTGATCAACTCGGTTAGCGTATTTAGTTTTGGACTAAATTATAAGATTTATTAAATGAGTTGAACTGACTTTGTATGAGCAGAACTCGAGCTCACATTGTATCTGCTTATTTAAACGGGTTGAGCCACGCTAGCTCGTTTATTAAATATGCACAGGTTTGAAACATATATTACCCGACTCGAATAATCTAGCTTCACGCATGCATAAAGAAGTTAAAGTATGAAAATAATTTTTAATATTTAATATAAATTACATGAATCACATAATAAATAATATTAAAATATGAATGTTACATTCGTAAAACTATCAATTTTATACTTTTTAGTCATGTTTTACATGGAGATTATGAATTATTAACTATTGTCTTATACATGTGTAAAATGATCATTTTAATTAATTTATTATTTTTAAATTAAAAAGTGCGCAAATATTTTGTATCATGTACTTGAATTTTAGTTAGAAAAAAATATAATTTATTGAAAACACTATTGTGAGACGATGTAGTGTCTCCTCATGTCATATAAGGTTCATCAGTCATTTTATTGAGTATGTCACATAAATAAACTAGAATTAATAGTAAATTTCATTCACCCAAACCAACAATTCGATAAGTATTTGAATGTGCACTTAGGACGACGTTCTTCACCGAACCAACAATAATGTGGGAGAAGGAATACATGATATATACTTTATATATAGTCATAGATATCTTTACTTGTGATTATTATGTGCTTATAAAGTTTTAACATGTGTAGAAACCTTTTTATAAGGTGGATATTGACTAGAGGAGGAGATATACACGAGATTCTGAGATCTGGACATGTTTTGTATCGATAAAAAAGATATATCTACTGAAGATTAATTGAAATTTGGAGAATCCCGCACATAAGGAAAAAATGCGTTTCCACATCAATTTCGGAAACTCCGTGTATCTGAAGACTTTCGCACCATTGAAGAGTCATACTAGAGAAAACACATTCTTTGAGAATATTTTGAAGATCTAGATTATCGAAGAAATCTTTGCAATGAAGGAATTTTATAATTATATGGTCACGAACAACCTGGCGTGAGAAGCTTTTATATTTTTTATTCTCGGAAAAGAAAACAGGTTGAGAGTACATAGGTCATTGAATTATATTGTTTACTCTGAGTGTTCTTGAATTTTTTTTTTTTTTCAAAAATTGAATCTGCATTTCTACACTACTCTAAGTTTGGAGCCTAGTATTATTATTTAATTTTTGAACACTTGGACAAGTGTTGTCTAGCTTAGGAGAGATCCAAGAGAGGCTTTTAAGTCCGCTAGTCGGGCAACAAAAGTAGTTAGTGGAGTGGGGTATAGTGTTTGTAAGTTTAGGAGGGAGTTCTTCACGTGTAAATCCAAATTACATGCTGTGGGACGCAATCGTTCACTAATGAAAGAGTTTTGAGGGTAGTGAGACGCTCCCAAAGAAAATTTTGTTAATTCATGCTCCTGCTATAATTTGTGTTCTTACATGGAATTAATTTTGAACAACATTTCGCTTCCCGCACACTTCACAGAAAAATATATTTTATCGTCAAAATATGGTTATGTTTCTTTTTTTTTTTATACAAACAAAGTACGAATGTCGGGCTAGAGTTAATGGGTAAAATATACCTCGCCCCCCCATGTTTAACGAAATCAGCACGTTTTCCCACCGTGTTCAAAATGCGTGAAACTCTATTATATTTATGTAATCAGTGCATGGTTCTCCCCTTCCGTCCAATTTAACGGTGCATGTAACACTCCTTCTTTAACTGCAAAAATTATTTAATTTTTTTATTTTGAAAAATTACCAATTTACATTTATACCCTCCTGACTTTTATTGCAGAAACGAAAATTTTGTCAAGAGTGACATTCAAACATGGGTTGCAAGGGAATAAACATGGCCAATCAACCACTGTGGCACAGAGATACTTGTGTAGATTATTGAACACAATTATATTTGTAATATAATACCAAAAAGAATTAGATAAATAATATAAAAGTATAATAGGATAACTTTAATATAAATTAAATAATAATAATAAATTAACTAAAATAAAATTAATGAAAAAATAATTCAAATAAAGTAAGATAAACTTTAAAATAGCAGCAAGAATTAAAATTAAATTAAATTTAAAAAAATTAAAATTTTTTATTTATAAAAGTAAAATTAATTATTTAAAAATAAAAATAATAATAATAAAGTTAAAGGAATAAATTAATAAAATTAAAGTAAACTAGTTAAAATAAAATAAAAATAAAATAATATGGGATAATTAAGTAAAAAATGGTACCATAAAAGAAGATAAAATGAAATAAAATAATAAATAAAATAAAATAAATAAATAAAAATTTATTTATCAAGTAGCTTTAATATGATTTTCTCATACATACAATATGAATTAAAAAATTAGAAATAAAATGAAACAAAATAATAAATAACATAAAATAAATAAATACAAATTTATTTATCAAGTAGCTTTAATATGATTTGCTCATACATACAATATGAATTAAAAAAATTAGAAATAAATAATAATTTTTAGTAAATTATTTTTATTTGAATAAGTAGTTTTATTTTCTAAATTTTTTTTAGTAAAATTTATTTTAATCTTATTTCATTGTCTTAAGTTAAAACAAATTGTTAACTAAGATAAAATAATTCAACAAAAAATTAATATGCATTAGAAAAACATGGAATAATATAATTCAAAATTAATAATAAAAAATATATTAAGAAAATTTAAAATAAATACAATAAATACTATTATTTTAACTAATTTTAATTTTTATAGTAAGTTTATAATTTACTAATTTAGTTTAACATAATTTACATTATCTTTTTAATTTGATTTATTCATGTGTAA